AGTTCAAATTTGTTAAAATGGTGGAATGAAAATTTAGGCTGTAGCAAGGTAAAAACAGAAGCAGAGTCCCAGTGAGTCCGGTCAGTACTGAGAACATGGTCTCTCATACATTTCCATAGAGAGCCACTTTGCATCAGCAGCACCATGCTCCAGTGCTCTGGGAGAGTTTATAGTCCTGAGAGTTGAACACTGGATGACTGACAGCTGTCCTTCATGACAACAGAAGACACAGAAATCCTCCTCATCAAAAACATGACTTTGATCTCCGTCCTTATCTGGACTCTCCTCTGCTGCTGCTTCACAGGTAAAGTCCAGAGAATCAAACTCCTCTCCTCTATGAACATCCGTCCCTCTGAAATGAAGCCCACAAAACCATGACGCTGCTTTATGTTTTTGTCTCTGTATCCTCAGAGTCCAGAGGCCAGGTCACAGTGACTCAGTCTGGAGCAGTGACCTCTGCTCTGGGAGGCTCCGTCAGCATCACATGTAGGACCAGTCAGGATGTAAATGGGAACTACCTTTCCTGGTACCAACAGAGAGATGGAGAAACTCCTAAACTGCTCATTTACTATGCTAGCACTCGAGCATCAGGGATTCCAGGTCGTTTTACAGGCAGTGGATCAAACTCTGACTTCACTCTGACCATCAGTGGAGTCCAGACTGAAGATGCAGCAGTTTACTACTGTATGGGTGAATTCTACGCCAACAGCCAGTATTCGTTCACACAGTGAAAAGCGTCGTACAAAAACCTCCCTCAGTCAGACTGAACAGAAACTGAACTGACTGCTGCAGCTGGAAGCTACTGCAGAGACTGATACACTTCACTGAGGACACACACACACACACACACACACACACACACACACACCATGTACTATAATAAAAACAGTGACAAATAATAATGTCCATCACAACATATCAGCATCCATTAATACTGCATTATAATCCCATGTTGTTATCTGATTTCCAAATGAATAAAAGGGACCCAACTTGGGAGAGTGAATGGTAGACGTTCAGGCAGACAATTTACGCTTGAAATGTTTATTACAGCAGTACAGCATATTTAGATTTTAGCATCAAGGCTCCGACCTAATCATTCCCCACATATATGTTTACATAGAGTTATTGGGGAGTGATGGGTAGATACCTTAAACCCCCCCAAAACTGCACAGAATAGAGCGTTACGTTACTAGTAGGAGGATCTTCTATGTGTGGGCCTTGGCACCAGCCGCTGTGTGGCTATTCCTATGAGAACCTCAAGCCATGAGGGAATATACTACTTAGCAAAACCTCTAGCAGGAACATTTCCCATATAGCAAATATATAAATACTCTAAACCCAGCAACCACCTGATATGCAAAGAAATAATTAGGCAGCAGATACAAATATTTATACTCGATCTTTTGAGGAACATGGTCGGCGGGTCTATACGATGCTAATGAGAAACGGTATGCCTCTATGGCGCTTTACCTTTACTTTTGGGAGATGCAATGTTTGAATTAGCAGTGTTTAAACCTGAGTCCTGGACACCAGCGGAACTGAGAGGTAAGTAAAGAGCTCTTCATGGCCAAGGCCTGAAGGAACTGAGATGTAGTGAGCATTTATGCGGGTGATGCGGCAGCTAAGGCGCGGAGCAGGGGTCTCTGAGTCATTTTTAGAGCGAACCTCAGCGGACTGAGCCTGGGTTTCAGGGATGAAGCCAATATCTTCCCCTGAGGACAGAGAACCACTCTCTGGAGTCAGAGACGACGAGAGACATAGTGCCCAATAAAGCCGAAAGGTAGGATGTCCAGCTCTACATCTCCACCAAATCCATCACCTCTGCCACTCACTCCACTCTCTCCAACTGCCTCACTGACATTAAATCCTGGATGCACACCAACTTCCTTAAACTTAACTGGGACAAAACAGACATGATCATCATCGGTCCCAAATCCATCACTAAAACCATTCACAGTTTCTCCCTCACTGTCGAGACCTCCACTCTGTCTCCATCCCCTCACAGTCGCAACCTCGGAGTCATCTTTGACAATAACCTCTCCTTTGAACACCACATAAAACAAATCACCAGAACGGCCTTCTTTCACCTCAAAAACATCGCCCGACTCCGCCCATCATTCTCTTTCTCCGCTGCAGAAACCCTCATCCACGCCTTCATCACCTCCAGAATCGACTACTGCAACAGCATCCTGTACGGCACACCATCCAAAACCTTAAATAAACTCCAGTACATCCAGAACTCTGCTGCTCGTCTGCTCACCCACACCCGCACCCGTGACCACATCACCCCTGTGCTCCAGAACCTGCACTGGCTCCCGGTCCCACAACGAATTCAATTCAAAATCCTCCTCCTCACACACAAAGCCCTCCATAACCAGGCCCCTTCCTACCTTACTGACCTGCTCCACCGCCACAATCCATCCCGTAGCCTCCGCTAATCTGACGCAAACCTCCTGTCTCCACCACCCAGGACCAAGCACCAAACCTGGGGCGACAGAGCCTTCTCCGTTGCTGCCCCCTCCCTCTGGAACTCTCTCCCCAAACAAATCCGTGACTGCACCGACCCTACAGCGTTCAAATCATTGACAAAAACTCACCTTTTTAAAATTGCTTTTAATGTTTAGCTTAGTCCGATGTGTTTTCAGTGTTTTTACTATTTGATGCTGTTTTCGCTGCTTTTATGATTTTATGTAAAGTGTCTTTGAGTATTCAGAAAAGCGCTTACAAATAAAATGCATTATAATTATTAAAGGGCCGCAGGTCAGATTTGAACCCTGGGCCACTGCAGCAAGGACTTGGCCTCAGTACATGGGTAGCAAGCTCTACTGACTGAGCTAACCGGGTACCCTATTTATATTACATTTTAACAACAAACTGCTGATATTGATAATATGATGACATAATATGTTGATAATGTCCTACTTTATAATTAAAATGCAATCAAACTTTGTTACAAATAAATATATTCATGGTTACTGTAATGAAGAAGTTCATGTCCTCACAAATGCTTTAAGGAACCTGGAGAAAATGATTAATTTACTTTAATGATGTTGGGTCACAACAAGCGCTGATGAATGATTATCTGATTACTTTTATTTTTTTCTAAATATCAAGGAGAGATATTAAAAATCTATTAAATGGTGTATTTTTTCTGAAGACATTACCTGATATTTTTTAATATAGTGGAGTTCAACGTTTACAGTAACATACATGACAACAACTGATTTGATGAACTGGTCTTTATTGTGTTGAAATAATCAAAATAAACGAATTAAATCAATGGCACACGTATTTAGAGAGTGGGTGAGGAAAAGAAAGAGAGAGAAAGATAATGAGAGAGCGCAGACGGAGAGCAGTAGTAGATTAAAACCCGTATCAGAGTCCCAGTGAGTCAGGTCAGAACTGGGAACACTGGTCTCTCCTCACTGTCTCTGAGAGCGGAGTCTGGGAGCCCTGGGTGGCCTCACAGGTCACAGAGCCCACCTTCCTCCAGTGGTCTGCAGAGAGCCTCAGGGTGCTGCTCCAGCTGTAGTGGCCGTCCTTCAGCACCCCGGGGCTCCTGCTCTCCTCCCAGCTGCTGCTGCTGCTGCTGCCGTCCACCTTCCAGGACAGACTCCAGTCTGAGGGGAAGCCCTTGTTGGCCAGACACATGAGCGTGGCCTTCCCCCTGCTGCAGCTCCTCACTGGAGGGGGGCAGCACTGTCAGGGTGGGACGGACATCACCTAGGAGACACCAATCAGCTTAGAGGACAGGGACCACACAGCTGTCAATAAAGCAGCAGACACTTGGACACCTTTACTGTGTGAGAGTTGATTTTCTCCTTTAAGGAGTTTCTGTCAGATGGTTTTTCTGCTCCACCAGTCACTCACTTACACATTGTTTCACTTCCCTTTAAGAAGCCTCTCATGCATATCAGCACAGAGAGAATCATCATACAGAATGAGCTGAAATATATCAAACTACACTGGAAATAAAATATCAAAAACTGTATCATCAAAATCATCCAAAACCTGAACTATACATTACTTTAAAGTATTTAGTGGAAACATGAACAAACACAGAAAATGAACTGACTACAATCAAATGTTCTTCATGTGGATTTCAATCATCATTACCAAACTGTAACTTTAAAACAATATATAACACTATGAAGAGATTTTGAACATTTACTCATCTTTATCTTCACTATGTTCAATTTGACTACAATAACTTATCTTAATTTATTTAAAAACAGTTATTTCTGACATGGAAAAGTAAATATGAAACCTTTGTACAAAAAGGTTTGCAGTTTTATCTTTTCTACACTTCAAGCTGTTTGAATTTCAGTTTGACAGGAATGTGTAAAGAACAAAGAGTTAGCCTCCATGATGAAGGAGGACAAGTACAAATATGGATACTTCAAGTGTTCAAATTAAAACAAGATATATCTGTCTGCTTCAACCAAAAACTGAATTTAAAACATTACTTTACAATATTATATTTAGTATTTGTGCAGAAACTTACTTCCAACATCCAGTCTGGTTCCTCCACCAAAAGTCCCCCACAGTGATACAAACTCATTGAGCCGCCGTACAAAAACCTCTCACTGTAGAGAGACACGGCTCTCTGACTTTGACACAAACAAACTCAGAAAACACATTCCCAGTTTACCTAGTTCCTGTAATAATTGGTTAAAGTTTCTAAAACATAAACAAGGAATATATATATATGTATTTTGTGAAATATGCCTTCTTACTTTTTCTTTCATTAAAACATTGAAATAAGATATTTCTAAAGAAAAACTCTCTAGTCAATCCTGACAAAGGTTAAATAATAATTTAGATCATGATTAATATAAAATAAATACATATGAATTGAACTGAATCATTTTGTTTAAATGTGTCCCACAGTGATGTTGATCTGTGTGGTAGTGAATTAGGGGGAATTCACTAAATATTCTGGAAGAAAATGTGTCCATCAAACTGAAAGCAAAGCCTCATACAAATGAGCACTGACACATTCCTAATCAATACTCTGATAAAGTGATTGATCCATTGATAAACAGCATCATGAGAGGAATCCAAGTCCCTGTTGGAGTCAGTCAGAGCATTTCCATAGAGAGCCACTTTGCATCAGCAGCACCATGCTCCAGTGCTCTGGGAGAGTTTATAGTCCTGAGAGTTGAACACTGGATGACTGACAGCTGTCCTTCATGACAACAGAAGACACAGAAATCCTCCTCATCAAAAACATGACTTTGATCTCCGTCCTCATCTGGACTCTCCTCTGCTGCTGCTTCACAGGTAAAGTCCAGAGAATCAAACTCCTCTCCTCTATGAACATCCGTCCCTCTGAAATGAAGCCCACAAAACCATGACGCTGCTTTATGTTTTTGTCTCTGTATCCTCAGAGTCCAGAGGCCAGGTCACAGTGACTCAGTCTGGAGCAGTGAGCTCTGCTCTGGGAGGCTCAGTCACCATCACATGTAGGACCACTCCTAAGGTTTATACTTGGAGCAGCTACCACTATTTAGCTTGGTACCAACAGAGAGATGGAGAAACTCCTAAACTGCTCATTTATGCTGCTAGCACTCGAGCATCAGGGATTCCAGGTCGTTTTACAGGCAGTGGATCAAACTCTGACTTCACTCTGACCATCAGTGGAGTCCAGACTGAAGATGCAGCAGTTTACTACTGTCAGAGTTTTCATGACATCAACAGTCAGGCTGTGTTCACACAGTGAAAAAGCGTCGTACAAAAACCTCCCTCAGTCAGACTGAACAGAAACTGAACTGACTGCTGCAGCTGGAAGCTACTGCAGAGACTGATACACTTCACTGAGGACACACACACACACACACACACACACACACACACACACACACACACACACACACACAAACACAGACACAATAAACATTTATTAAAATTGACAAAAGAATAATCTCACAGTAAATCGAATTACATTCTCCATCACAGCTTCTTTCAAAATCCCATGTTCCCAGGGAGAATGAAGGAGAAAATTCTTGATTTTGACCTTTGACCTCTGCTTTATACTGGATTACAGATTCTTCAACTTCATCCTGTCATTAAATAATAAAAAGACACCAATCAGGAATCTTCATTACCAAAGATTGACCAAACAAACCCGTAGGCCTACATCCCCATTTCACTCAGTATTGATTGAATAGACTTTTGTTTATTAAAGAAAATCTCATTATGACTGGAATCCTAACATTAGAATACCTCTATGATATAATTATATCTGCATACAGTATATTTCAATATAATTATCTTTAACTGCATAAAACATGCAAAAATACATTTTCTCTAACACTGTATAAAGGTGAATTCTTTACCTTGAAAACAATTTTAAAAAATATTTGTGGAACATCCATCCACTAACTGAAACTGTAAATCATATCACATGATCTTCTTCAGCGGATGGAGTCTCCCGGTTGTCATTCAATTGTAGTTGTTCGAATTCCCATTTCTGTGAGCATTTTTAGAACTTCTTGTACATGTTGGCTTCTATTCCATCACAACTTGGTGAACTCCATCTGCTGAGGAAGACCATGTAGTTAAATCACAAGCTCCAAAACAGCTACTGAGAAATGGTTTTGATTGTTACCCATAAACTATCAGTTGCAACTTTTCAGTCAACATCTACCAGAAATCCTTAAAGTGCAACATAAAGACCTTCAGAATACTCACATTACTGCTCACAGCTGTAACTACAAGATGTTTCAATATCCTCTACAGGTAAATATGTAAATATGTAGGACAATGCTCTCAGCACTGAGGGGGAAACACCATGATATGTTGAGGACAGCTACAGTTCACTGACTCTGTGTGTTTGCATATGTGTCCTTCCTCTCTGCTCCCAGCCGTTAAGAGGCCAGTGTTGATCAGTGGCTGTCCAGGCCTTTCAGAGCCACTGACACGCCGGCAGCACAATGATAATGTCACTGACTCTACTGCTGGCCACCCTGGGGCTCCTTGTTCAGGGTGAGACTCTCTTCTGAAAACTTTGCTTCAGGATGCAACCAGGTTCACCACAATGATGTTCTGCTATGATGGAGAAACACTGAAACAAGCAGCATTTACCTTCTTCCATCTATTCTCCATGTTAAAGAAATGATACTCTTCTGTTTGGATGTTGATCATCTTTCTCCAAACTGGATATGTCTCAATAACCCTTCTCCTCTTTTTCATGTTTTCCAGATTCATCAGGAGAAATCATCCTGACTCAGTCTCCTAAAGCTCAGTCTATTGTTCCAGGACAGACTGTCTCTATCAGATGTAAAGCCAGTTCAGGTGTTACCAATGATTTGCAGTGGTACCTTCAGAAACTTGGAGAAGCTCCTAAACTCCTCATTTATAATGCTCAGTCCCGTCAGTCTGGAGTTTCAGAGCGTTTCAGTGGGAGTCAGTCTGGAACTGACTTCACTTTGACCATCAGTGGAGTTCAGACTGAAGATGCAGGAGTTTATTACTGTCAGCAGGATTACAGCACACCGTTCACACAGTGAAAAAGTGTCATACAAAAACCTCCCTCAGCTGAGAGGAACTGATCTGAATCAACAGCTGCATGGAAACTAAACAGCAACAAGATACAACTAAAACACACCTCATAATTACATGTAGTTCTAATAATGTGGCATTTAAAATAATCAATCACATTTTCATTTTTTTTCGCACGTTATTTTTTTTTAGGCAAAGATAAATGTTTTAACCTTTGCATTTGATACAACTGATGTCAAGTCTCTCATCAGACAGGTTTATACAGATATGTTAGTTACTGTAATTATATCTAGAGATTAATATTTTCCCACAATGCATTGTACATCTACAGTAGCTGAACACAGTTTACAGAGTAACAAACTCTCTTTATATATGTGTAGCACCCCAACACTCAGTAAATGCCTATGTTAAAGGAACTCACCTTGGACTTGAATGATGGGGTGTTTGGGTTCGATTCATTAAGGTAGCTACCACGAAGGTTTACCTGTTTTGTGTGCAACTTTTTATAGCCTAATACTTTATGAATAACCAACAACACTGTTAGACTAAGCAGTGGCTCTATTCACACATACTGTACACTATTTTAAATAACTGACCCCAGACAACTCTTTCAAATAAATGCAATAATATTTTACTAACCAGTGGTTTGCAGTGTAACACAAATAATATTTACTTTGTTAGTTAAGAAGAAACAAAAATGAAATAACACAATTACCCAAATCAGACTTCTTTAAAATAAAAGTATTATAGTTGAAATACTAAATTGTAAACGAAATACCCTTTACCAAAATTGGCAAAACACTGTAGAAAATCAGACACTTGTAATAAGCAAAATAGATTTGGCAATATCAAAATACTATTCAAAACTTAAATTATCTCAGGTCTCTAACATTCCTAATTCTTACCACTTTAATATGATTTACCTGTACTCATCAGACTCAGATCAAATGCTACTTAACTAAACTCTAAACAAAACAGTGGGCCCACACACACACACACACACACACACACACACACACTGTATATAACTAATATAATGTTAATAATGTATATATCTTTCATATTGTGTATTGTCTGAATATTTCGACTTATTGTATTGTATTTTGATGCTTTTGCTTTGGCAAAAAGTTTCATGCCAATAAAGCCCATTTTGAATTGAATTTGAATTGAATTGAGAGCAGTTTGGTAGTCAGCCCATGCATGTTCAGCCTGTATATTTTAGATTGCTTTTCATTCCAGTTTTGCAGGTTTGACCAAGTCTTCAGCAGATGAGGTTAAATATCTTCAATCACATGTTTGAGAGAGATTTAGCTGTCTAGATTTAACTAGAAAGAGTTTCCAACATATGTCAGCATTTTTTTATAAACATTAATATGTTGTTGTGCACATACACATTATACACAAAAAGTGTCCAGTATGGGGAAACCCAATGAAACAGCATGTGTGCACATTTTTCACTCATGCTATGTTATTTATTATTTTTAGCTATTTTTCCCAGATTGTATTAACTATCAACAATGATATGAAAATCTTATTCTGACATTGGTTATAATCCTGCACATGTGGAAATATGGAATAAGACATCTATTGTTGGTAAACAGGGATCCATGAAAAATTATTTGATCTAAAGATAGAAAATATCTTTTGATTGATGTATAGCATTAACAGCATTGGCATTATTGGGACAATGAAAATGTCATAATCTGAAGTTCAAATCTGTTCAAATTTGTTAAAATGGTGGAATGATAGAAAGTGCAGATTTAAAGCTGTAGCAAGGTAAAAACAGAAGCAGAGTCCCAGTGAGTCCGGTCAGTACTGAGAACATGGTCTCTCATACATTTCCATAGAGAGCCACTTTGCATCAGCAGCACCATGCTCCAGTGCTCTGGGAGAGTTTATAGTCCTGAGAGTTGAACACTGGATGACTGACAGCTGTCCTTCATGACAACAGAAGACACAGAAATCCTCCTCATCAAAAACATGACTTTGATCTCCGTCCTCATCTGGACTCTCCTCTGCTGCTGCTTCACAGGTAAAGTCCAGAGAATCAAACTCCTCTCCTCTATGAACATCCGTCCCTCTGAAATGAAGCCCACAAAACCATGACGCTGCTTTATGTTTGTGTCTCTGTATCCTCAGAGTCCAGAGGCCAGGTCACAGTGACTCAGTCTGGAGCAGTGAGCTCTGCTCTGGGACGCTCCGTCACCATCACATGTAGGACCAGTCAGAATGTTTATAGCTCCGATCATTTAGCCTGGTACCAACAGAGAGATGGAGAAACTCCTAAACTCCTCATTTATAATTCTAACAGTCGAGCATCAGGGATTCCAGGTCGTTTTACAGGCAGTGGATCAAACTCTGACTTCACTCTGACCATCAGTGGAGTCCAGACTGAAGATGCAGCAGTTTACTACTGTCAGAGTGAACATTATATCAACAGTCAGTGGTTGTTCACACAGTGAAAAAGCGTCGTACAAAAACCTCCCTCAGTCAGACTGAACAGAAACTGAACTGACTGCTGCAGCTGGAAGCTACTGCAGAGACTGATACACTTCACTGAGGACACACACACACACACACACACACACACACACACACACACACACACACACACTAAACAGTCTGCAGGAGAACAATGGAAATCAACCTGTATATGGTACTGAACTGATAGAGGGAATAGACACTTTTCATGGCAGACATTTTGACTTGCCAAAGCAGGAAAAGCACAGGTGTATTTATTACATTAATGATGGCTGCATTACATTTAGGTGAGCCAGTCTCAGAGCTCTGGTTCTGTGCATGCTCACTCACTGAAAGGCCTTACTGGGACACTGAATGAAACAGAGCCAGTGTTACAGTTTTCTTCAATTGCTAACAAGCGTTTACCTAAACTTAAGAGACTTTATCGAAACTCTTAACACAGCAACACACCTACCTCACACTTTTAGCCAAATAGTACATTTTCTGCTCAAAACCACATTTCGTTCTTTAAACACCAACTCTACATTTCAAAATGCAAAAAACATTCTCTATATACACAAACTCTATCAAAACACAGCAAACCTGACTCAAAATCAAATCATTCTGTTAAAACACTAGCATGTTTTCTTTCCAAGAGGAACAGATCAATCAATCATAGCACAACAACTTTCTAAATACAAACAGTTGATAGCATTACAAAAACTCCATAACTTTTCATGCTCTATCTGCAAACAGTAGACAATGAGAAATCCATTGTTGTTTTTAATTCAGTTTCATTTTACTGTAAACCACCCTACATTTTTGGCTTGAAGGTCAAATGTGTACATTTTTGGCAACAAACTACGCAAAAGTGAATGAGTCATCTTTACTTTCTAGAATGTACAGTAGAAAAAATTGTAAGTGACAAAATTGCAGAAGTTAAAGCTTTACAATATTATCAACATGAAATTGCAGCCAGTGATCCAAAATAATCCAAACTATGTGTCCTTTGGTTCAAAATGTGTCAAAATACTGTCAGATACACAATTTGACAACAAAAAAAGAGGCACAGATGGGAAAGAAACAAAAATGCACAGTCCTGTTCTAATCCATACGATCTTCAGCATCTGGCGCATGTTCTCATCCTCATCACATCTAATGTCATCTCTCGCTATGCACCTTGGATAGAAACGCTTGGCATGCCTTATCCACCTCTGGCCCTCCTCTCTCCCTAGCCCAACTATT